AGGCTTTCTTCCTCTACTGTGTATTTTTGGCCCCTTTGTCAAAGACTGAATAGCTGAATGTGCCTGGGGTTGTTTCTGCTTCTTCTGTTTTGTTCCACTGATCCACATGCCTGTTTTTGTGCCAGTACCATGTTGTTTTAATCACTGTAGCTTTATGGTATAACTTCAAGTCTGGGATTGGGATGCCACCAGCTTTGCTTTTGTTACTTAGGATTGTTTTTGCTATTCTGGGTCTCTTCTAATTTCTTATATATTTTAGGATTGTTTTCTCTAGCTCTATGAAATATGATGTTGGTATTTTGAGTGGAACTGCTACACAGAAGTTTTGGTACTATAGCTATTTTGATTAGTCCTGCCTATCCAGGAACAGGGCACATTTTTCCATTTTTTTGATATCCTCTTTGACTTCCCTTTTCAGTTGGATGTAATTCATTGTAGAGTTCCTTTACTTCAGCTAGGCTAATACCTAAGTATTTAATTTTTTGATGTTACCGTGAATGGTATTGTTTTCCTAACTGCTTTTTTGGTGAGTTATTAGTGTATAGAATGCTATTAATTTTTGTGTTTTTTATCTTGCTACACTGCTGAATTTGGTTGTCAATTTTAGGAGTCTTTTGGTGGAGTTTTTGCATCTTGTTAAGTAAGTGATCATGTCATTTGCAAATATTTTAACTTCGTCCTTTCCTATACACATCCCTTTTCTTTCTTTCTCTTGCCTGTTTGCTCTGTTTCGGGAACTGTATTAAAAAGGAATGGTGATAATGGGTCTCTTTGTCTTGTTCCTGATTTTAGAGTAAAGGCTTGCAGCTTTTCCTCATTTAATGATGTTGGCAGTAGATTGGTCATAAATGGCATTTATCATGTTGTGATAAAGACCTTCTAAATCTATTTTCTTCAGCTTTTTTTTTTTATCATGAATGGATGTTAAATTTTGCCAAAGGCTTTTTCTGCATCTATTCAGAAGATCATGTGATTTTGTCCTTGCTTCTGTTTATATGATGAATTACATTTATTGATCTGCATGTGCTGAACCATTCTTGCCTCTCTGGGATGAAGCCTAGTTGGTCATGATGTATGATCTGTTTGATTATCTGTCACATTCTGCTTGCCAGTATCTTATTAAGGATTTTTTGAATCTATGTTCACTATAGAAATTGGCCTATTCTTTTTTGGTTGGATCCTTGACTGATTTTGGGATCAAGATAATGTTAGCTCTGAGAATGATTTTGGAAGTACTCCTTTCCAATTTTATTAAATGTTTGAGAAGCATTGGTGTTAGATCTTTCCTGAAGTTCTTGTAGACTTCAGGAGTAAATCCATTGGAACTGATTTGGTGCCTATGTAATTGTTATCTATTCCTGTTAACCAATATATAATGCCCTTGTCTCTTTGATCAGCTTTGGCTTGAATTCTACTGTCTTAGTTACTTTTCTCTTGTTGCTGAGACAAAATGCCCAACACCCAAAATTAAAGGGGGAAAGCTTTATTTGGCTTACAGTTGGTAGAGGTTTCAGTCCATTATTGGCTGGCTCCAAGGCAGGGTGGCAGAGGGGCAACAATCCACGGTGGTGAAAGACAGCAAAAGCAACAAGGGAGAAATTAACAGCATCTTTCTGCCCAATTTAACAGCATCTTTCTGCTCCTTTTATCTTATTCAGACTACTTAGGGCGGGTAGCACTCACACCTTTAATCCTAGTCCTTTTGGGCCTAGCATTGCACCATGAATCAATTTCAGCCTCACACACTCTAGATCCAGCCACGTCTGAAAAAGCCCTGCCTAAAACCACATGAGGCTTTGGGGGGACATCTAGACAAAAGCCATGACATCTACTTTGTCTGAAAATAGGATAGGTATTCCTACTTTTCTTCGGGTTTCAGTTGTATGGAATATTGTTTTCTGTCTTTTGCTTTCTAGTCTATGAATTTTTTTGTGTTAAATGTTTCTTGTATACAGCATAACATGGGACTGTTTCTTGATCCATTCTGTTAATCTGTCTTTTCACTGGTGAACTGAATCCATTTACATTGATAATTTGATAGATACTGACTTATTCCTGTCATTGTACTACTTTCCTGTCACTGTTTCGCTTTCTTTCTCTTCCACTTAATTCCTAGCCCTACGCAATGTATTCATTCTTTTTGACCTTTTGGCATTGTTAGCTTCATTATCTCCTTCTAGGATATCCCCAAGTATTTTTTGTTTTAATTTATTTTTTGAAGCAGGGTCTCACTATGTAGTCCAGGCTGGCCTTGAACTTGTGGTGATCCTTCAGCCTGAGCTTCCCAAGTGCTGGGATTACAGGCATGTGTCATTGCACTTGGATCCAGAGCATTTTTTGGAGTGTTGGTTTGCTGGTCGTGAATCTTTTTAGGTTTTCTTTATCTTAGAAGAATCTTATTTCTCCATCAATTTTGAAAGCTAATTTTACAGAATACAAGTCTGGGCCAGAGGTTTTTCTCAAGAGCTGATCACTTCATTCCATGCTCCCCTTGCCTTTAAGGTTTGTGTTGTGAAATCTGTTGTAATTCTAACAAGTTTTCCTTTATAGGTGATTCATTGCTTTTCTCTAACAGCCTTTAAGATTCTGTTCTTAGGTTGTATTTCTGGTATTTTAATTATGTGGTATGAGTAGTTTTTTGCTGATCTTAGCTACTTGGGGTTCTATATGCGTCACTTGTCTGTATGTTAAATTCTTTTTCCACATCTAGAAGGTTTTCTGCTAGTACTTGTGTAAACAGGTTTTTTATGCACTTTGTGCTGTCTTCTGAATTTTGGATAATTCCAATTACTCTTACATTAGTCTTCTTTTGAGTCATCAGGGCGCTAATGGATCCGTTTTTCATGTTTCCTTGTTTTTTTTTTTTTGGTGCCGGGGATTGAACTCAGGTCTTTGCACTTGTGAGGCAGGCACGGTGCCACTGAGCTAAATCCCTGGCCTGACGTTTCCTTGTCTTTAAGGTATCTCTAACTGATATTGACCACAGTCTGTCCTCTAAGTCTGACACTGTCTTCACACTGGTCACTTATTTTTTTTTTAAATTTGGTGAGACAGGATCTTGTTATGCAGTTTAGCCTGGCCTTGGACTCACTGTGCAGCTCAGCTGGCCTTGAACTCACAGTGATCCTCCTGTTTCAGCCTCCTGAGTGCTGGGATTACAGGAGTGTGCCATCATGCTTGGCTGACAATGGTCACTTCTGCTACCCATACTTTCAATTGCTTTTAATCTCCTGGATTACTGTTTTTAACTTTTCTGTGGACTCTCATTCTTTTCTATGCTGGGCATTCATGTTCTGCATCTTTCCTTAGCTCCATTAGTTATTACTGTCTTCTCTAGACTCAGATAATTTGTTTCATTGTGGTCATTATGTGATTAGTTGTATCTTCTTTAAATCCATCAAGCACCTTACATGACTATTTTCCCTCCAATGGTACTCTTTCAGACCTATTTCCTGTGTAGTTTATGATTTCCTCTCCCTCAATCCCCCCTGTATTGATTTGGGAAAGTTAGAAGATTTTGGAGGCATTTTGTTGCCTTTTCATGTTTTTGGTTTTTTATGTGCTGTAGTTTGTAAATTCTTTGGCCCAGTGCCCCATTCTTTGGGAGTGAGCCACAGTATTGTTTATGACCTCCTAGACAATCCAGTTACTGGCCTAGAGAGAAAACCACGTGCTAGTCACTTCTCTATTACTTTGTCTATGGCAGTAAATTCAGCGACAATAATGGCATAAAATGTCAACTGGATATTGAGAAACCCTATGAATCACTCATGTAACAGCCCTTTACTAAAACAGAGGACTCTGAATTTTAATGGATAAATAAGCAACCACCCCACATTGAACTACAATAATTCAGACCACTGATTTCTACTGGATATTGGCAGCAGTGCCAGAGTTCAAAAATAAGACTTAAAGCCTTCTTCAGAACCACCCTCTCTGTGGATTACTCCAACTAAACCTGGCCTCCCACAACACAATACAGGCCCTGTGATCTTCCTGGTCTGATCCTGGGCCTCCCAATTTAGCTTTCACCCTCTTCAACCCTATCTCCCAAGGATATCTCTCACCCGATCCCTATGGAAGGGTAAGAATTCAGTCCTGAAGCAAAATTTCCTGAGTGCTGGTCCCTTCTTTGATCACGCTGGTTGTTATTAACTCTGTTGTCCTGTACTGTGGAGAATCCAGGGACTGGAGGCAGTGCATGCAGTTCCCAGGTCCTCCTGGCACTGGCACAGGGCAGGTGTCAGCATAGGCTAGAGGTAGGGCATACACTTCCCAGGACCTCTGCCTGCTCACGTTGTCACTTAACTCTCAAGAGTTACTAATGATTTGTGGTTTTATTTTTTATTTTTTTGCAATACTGGGGACTGAACCCAGTGAGTGTGGAGCTATATCCTCAGCCCTTATTTTGAGAAAAGACTGCCCAGACTGACCTCAATTTGACCCTTCCTGCTTCAGCCACCTGAGTTTTTAGGATTACAGCTGTGCACCACCATGCTTTTCTGTGAAAGGCAACAATGTAAGTTTTTTTAGGCTTTGCAGATTCTGTTCCAACTACTCAACTCTGCCACTGCATGAAAGCAGCCAAAGCCCCTAACTAAAAGAATGGGTGCGGCTGTGTTCCAATAAAATCATTTATAAAAACACATGGTGGGCTGGATTAGGCCTGCTCCTGGGCACTGGTCTGTTCTACTCTCCCTAGAAAAGTCCTCTATTGTGCCTCCAATGAATTCCTACAAAAAGACAGCTAGATGTTTCTATCCCTAAGCCTGTATCTCCAATTACTATCGACATTTAAATGTCTCTCAGACTGCAAATCTTAACAAAGGAATTGTGCTCTTGTCCCCTAAATCTGGTGTCCCCTTAGTGTTCTTAGTAAGAGGCACTGTTATCTACACAGCTGCATAAGGCAGAAAACAGGAATCATTCTTGACACTCTCCTCTCTCATCATTTGGAAAAGGAGGTCTGGAAATGGCACTATTTGAAGCACACAATCAAATTTAACATTTCACTAACAGAGCTAAACTTTATTTCCATGTTTATTACATGTTTGTCTTTGATGTTGAGTACATATTAGGACTGATTTAACATACAGCTTGGGAGAAGATTTGACATTCTCCACTGAATGGGTTAAAAAGGAATGTAAAACTACAAAATACTAGTTTAAATGTGAGTTCTAAATTATGGTAAACAGAACAATAAATACCTTGCTATTTTTCTCTAATTAACCAAGATGAATTTCATTATAAAAATTTTTCATAACAATTTATTTCAAGAAAGGAAATGAGGGATAATCATAAAACCATTTAAGTACAGGGTACAAATAAATTAAGAATTTTAACACACAACTTCTATCTTCTATTTAAAATTAAGATTTGAGAGGGATTAATTAGTGTCAACTACAGATCTAATGACTTAAACCCACCTGCTTTTGTCAGAAAGAGTTAGGCTGACTTAAAGGTGACAAAAACCAGTTCTACTTGGCATTCATGTTTTACCATTTGGTGCTCAGAATAGGGATGGACAAATACTATGTGTTCAGAAATTCAGAATTAATCAATATCAAGTGGCTCAGACAAGAGAATTAATCATTGTACCTCCTGATCTGTAGTTACATACAAATGTATAGGTTTTACCATTCACTGAAAGTTTCAATACAAAATTCCTCTAGATATTCTGAGCTGCTAAAATTCACAGAACACTAAGAATATTAAGAATTATACTGTAGTATAATTCCAATGTTTGAACATGGACAAAATAATGATGGATATCAAAGATGGTATAGTTTCTTTCGATTCTTTATACGCCCCTTAGCACGTTTTAGAAAGAAAGGTGTGTCTTTTCACTACTAATCTTTATTTATGTACATTAAAAAGGAACTTAAAATTCCTTTTTATCATGGATTATTGAATGAAGACTTATAGTTTCTAAGTGTTTAGAATAATCTGCAAAAACCTACATTCTTTCTAATGCCACTTTGAGATAGATGATTAACTCATCTATCTTTACATTATCCCAGTGATAAAACATTTCCTTATGTAACTGTTCAAGAGAGATGATTTATGGCTTTTCAATTTTTATTTATTTTTATTTTTTATTTTTTGGCTTTTCAACTTTTAAAATTTCATATTCAGTGTCATATTAAGCTTTTCTAAACCAGTGTTCTAGTATTAGCTCCTTAAGAAAGGACAAAAGATAATGCCACATCACATTTCAGCTTCCTCCCTTCCCTGAAAACCAACATGTCTCTTAATGGCACACTCCTTTTCTTAGAGCATAGGGCCAGTTCTCTTGTGTAAATTTGTGTAAAGGGACATATTGCAAACATTTCAGGCTTCCTGTGTCACGTGGTCTCTGTTGCAGCTTCTGTTGTTGTAGGAGAAAGCAGCCACAGTCACTATGCAGGTACAAAAAAAACAGCCCACCAGCTCTGGCCTGTGGGGCAGCATGCGTAGCCAGTCCCTACCACAGATGAACAGGCTAAATATATGACAGCAGTCTGGAAGAAACTGGTCTCTAGTCAGAACCTAGCAGTTAATCACTCTAACACCCTGAGGTTGAACATTTTTGATTTCAGTTATCTTTTAGTTAAGATTCTTCTACTAAAACTCACTACATCATCGTGCTTTTTATCAGGAATAATTTATCCTCATTTAAGAACTTGCTTGAGTACTGTTATCGAGAAATTCAACTTTAAAATTAATAAAGGATATCCATACAATTTAATATCCAATTTAATTTTTAAAAAACTTAATGAAAAATATAACAGAATCAAAATATTTAAAATAAGTACACTCACTACCCACTCCAGTTAATTCATTTAAGTCATACCAACTATAGAATATGAAAAATAAATTCAGAAGTATAATTATTTTAAAATACACTACTTCCACTTTTGTCAGTATTTTACATTTATGTATATATTCTGTAGTGGAAGCAGAATTTCTCTCTACAAACATTATCTCCTTAAAATCTTGAGGTGCATATTAGAGCCACAGGCAATATCTGACATATAAAACTGTAGTACAGGCCTTTCAAATTTGGCATTTCACTGGTACAATACAATGACCAAAGTATGTAACTGTACAGTGTCTAGACATTCTAGTAAGAACCATTATTTTCTTAGATGTAGAATGATCAATACATATTCTACAAGGGGCAGTGAGGTTAGTAATTCTATAGGGTATGTCCTGACACAATTTCAACTGTACAATAACACAAACAACTTTGTTAAGGCCATGTTTTATTTGCTGATTAATGGACAAAAGGCAATGTAATTTATTTTCAAGTATTTTCTTGAAAGTCTGTGCTCATAAAAATCATGAAAAGTTGGAAAGACTGTTAAATCACTGAAACTTTAAATATATCTTACACAATCTTGTTTGTACAAAAATACAAGTTAAATATAAACATAAAGCAATCATGATAATTTTATGCAAATCTGTTTTATGTGATCTTTAGTTATATATAAAAGTTTCTTGGTTCTGTTATTTGTGAAAAGATCAATACCAGACTGAGTTACTATCTATTGGCAAAGGGCCCTAAAAAGCTTACTTTAGCATTAATCTTTCACAATGGTTATGTGTTGTCTAATTTGAGACCACCTAAACACTGGAAACCAACAAAAAAAAGGGCAGTTATGTCCATAAACCAACAAATAATTTGGCTGTAATGTATCATAAAACACAAAGAAAGCCCACATAGCTGTACAATAAACATTATGTACTACATACGCTCACTCGGGTGCACATGCGTGCATGCACCCACTCATAGGGTAAACCCTAATGAGGCGCTGCTTCCAGTTCTATATTCAGCTGTGCATTCTTTCTTACTTCATCAAACGAATAGCTTTTGGTCACCTTTCCATTCTTGAAGACAGTATGGAGAAGATCCTGCAGAAATGTAAATTTTATGATTATATTAAAGAAATCATCAAACTAAGTATGTGAATCATGCTTTGATGAATTTACCTAACTAGTCAAACACAGAGATGCTGATGGTGTTCAACTGAACAATTCTAAGATTATTTAAGTATTACATTCTTAAGCCAACTTCCTTAAGAAATGAACCTAGTTGAGCAATCAATTTTTTTCTGACCTAGAAGCTTGGTTGCCTAGGAGAATTGAGATTGTCACTGATAAACACTGACATTGCAACGAGGCAAACTCTGCCAATGCCAACCTTCCCTTGTTCCTGCCCTAAAGACTCAAAACTGATTAAATTTGTCAATTCACAAGTTTAATAAATTTGCTAGTCACTGAATTTTAACCTAAAAACAACAAAAACCAAACCCCAAACAGAAACACAGGTACTGATTTCCATCTCATGCAGTTAAGGACTCTATCCTTTAAAGTCACTGGTAAATGTAATCCACTGCATCCAGATAAGGGTAACCAGACAGAATAGGGACTAAATTTACTTTGGTTCTGGTAAAGCCATTCTGTCTCACTAAGGAGTTAGCCACCTCTAGTTTCTATAATTTCAATGTTTCATCTACTCTGAAGGTACATACAACATTATCTGGTATCTCTGTCACTGCGGTACTTTAAATTATATTGCTCTAGCTGTAGCATTTTTTTCCATAAATTTAAATGTAACTATCAGGGAATGCTGGTTCTTATTCTTCAATCAAAATGCCTACAAAGATTGCTACCTCAGCTGCTCCAGTGTATCATTCACATACTCATGTTTTTACTTTTACTGAGTCTCAAGTGACTTCAGCACATCTGAGAATCTAATTCAGCAAAATTTTGGTAGTTGGGCTGGGGATTTAGCTTAGTGGGTCTGCCGCCTGCCTCGCAAGTGCAAGGTGTCAAGTTCGATCCCTGGTAACCCCCCCAAAAAAAAAAAAATTTTGGTAGCTGCAATAGTTAAGTACAATCTACTCCAAAGAACTGCTCAACGGCTATATAAAGGGATCTAATTCTAAGTTTGATTTACAAATTTATTTTCATTAAAGAGAAAAAGTTACTTTATTAATTTTGGCCCCCAAAAATCTTAAAAATATACTAAAAACAACCTGTTGTAAGCAGTAAATTTGGCATAATGCAAAGAATCATAATAGTAAGATATTCATGTATCTGTCTAATATAAACTTTTCTGACAGGCTGAGAATTTAACTCAGTGGTTCCAGCGCCTGCCTCGCAAGTGCAAGGTTCCGAGTTTGATCCCCAGTACCAAAAAACAAAAAACAAAAAAAACAAACAATAAACTTTTCCGAGAATATGAATAAGTAGTTTCCCTGTAAAAATGAATTTTCCAATCACGTGGCTTACAAACCAGAAAGACTGTAACTTTTGAATACATGAAGTATACGAACCACCTTAGCATTCTATAGATTTTTTTCCAATTTGGTTCATTTGAATGAGAAAACTTGGTTAAGGTGTCACTATTAGTCATGTAATCTAAAACTCACCCTGTCTTTTCATCTTTACACTACCAAGATAATGTAATTTGCCTTTTTCAGCTCATGGGGATGTTATAAGACCCTAATGAGACTAGGCCAGTTATGGTGGCGCATGCCTGTAATCCTAGCACTTGGGAGGCTGAGGCAGGAGGACTGCTATGAGTTCAAGGTGAGCTTGGATACATAGTGAGACTCTGTCTCAAAAAAACAAAAAACCCTCCAAAATCCTCCCCCAAAACCCCTCATCAATGAGACTAAAGAAAACCATCTGAACTCAATACTATTAAATTTTTAAAAAGACAATTACCCTCAAAAACATTTTTAGAAATTGCACAGCCCCTCTGTTGTCTATTAAAATTACCAATGTCTTACTATAATACAAATAGCCATGAGAATTCTAAGAACCATATCTCTCAATTAATCTTACCTATGCCTTGTCAGAAGTGATTCATTGCTAAGTACAGTAAGATTAAAACCAAATACATGCAAGCTTTTGTATCACTACTACACTGGTCACTATGTGAAAAAATGGAATTACTTCAATGTCATAAAACTGTTCTGAAAACAATTTAAAAAATATAATATAAAAACCTCATTATTAATTTGGAGAGACAATCAACTATCACAAAAAACCAGTCAGTACAGATATATACCTGACCATATTCCTCAAGGTCTCCTTTTCCTTCCTCAAGTGTAACAAAATTCCCTGCTGGTGTCCTATGTAATGATAACCGGCCCTTTTTGGACCTTTTGTTGGGATCAGCAACTGGGTCTTTGAAGACATTAATCTGAAATCCAGATTAAGAAAGACAGAGAAAAAGAATATTAATCAAGAAATATTCACCACTCACTTGCAAAAAAAAGCACATACGTATTTATGTACACTTGCTTATACATACACACATACATTTACATCTAAAAAAACTTGTACGTAACTTTTAAGGTACTTTATGGGTACAAGGAAACAAACTTATGCCTGGCTTTCAGAAACATAACTCTTTAGTCTGTTTTGAAGAACATTCACCTATTATGGAAAAAGATACGCAAAGAGCCCAAACACCTAGTATCTTACCACAAAAAAGAATACCTAATAGTCCACTTGTAAGACATCAATGAAAGTTTTAACAGGTGACCTTTATTGTACAAAATGTCTTTAAACGGATGCTAAGTATAGTACACATGCTACAGCGAAATAACAACAGATGAAAGGAGGGTATTACTAAGGTAGAGGCTTTCCCATTTCATAACCTTTCCATGCTTCCAAGTCAAGGTCATGAGTACCTGAAAACATACTAACAGTCTAGGACCATATTATCTTTTGACTACTGCCCTTAGTAAGGGTACTCTACCTAGATATACAAAGAAGGTGCTAAAATAGGAACAAAAGTTGAAGGATGTACCCCAAGGCCATTGGTGACAACATAGCTACACTTGAAGGAACAATTCAGGAGATCTCTGGTTAACTTCTGCAGCAAAGCTCCACCAGAACCAAAGGCAACATTTTCAATGCTCCACTTTTTTTGTTTCATGCCTTCTACAATCTAGAAGATTAAACAAACAAATAAATAAAACCTAAGTAATTTGGAAGAGGACGGAGGTTAATTTCAAAGGAAAACATTAACAAATGAAGCATCCTAGAGCTGTTTTGTTAACACTAATAATGAGATGTGGAAGGCTTATTATTTCACATATTCTTTTTAAAGACTGAACTGCCCCCAAAAAAGGCATCCTGAGATGGATATGCATGGAAGGAGGGGATTTCATTCATAGTTCTGAATTTGTGTTGTTGTCATTATAGTTGGGTATGGGGAATGAGGAACTTGCCTATAAATATCTAATGTAATGAGTTAACTTCTCTCATCCACCCCTTAAGTTATTGCTCAGATTCCAGCAGCAAATGCATTGGGACCAATCGCTAGACTCTAGGAATGACTCTACTCATGAATACATCACAATACAGCACATATCACATTACAGGTCATACTGCAAACTATTGGGAATGGACATGTGGGTCAATGATTATTAGCGACAAAAGAAAATACAATTCTCTTTTCTACATAAATAGCTGTGATATTGGCAGAGTCATTTTACTCTGGCTGGTGCTCTAGGGCCATAAACAAGATTATGGGCAGATGCTCTAGGAGATTAATCACTGGATATTTTTGGAAGAATGATTATCTAACCAGCTATAGAGATCTGTATGACAAATGGTTCTGGTGTTTAATGTAATTCTTTCAAGGGTCATACCCACATTGAGCAATTCAACTTCATTTTAAAATTCCAATTATCTAATTCTGCTTTTTTATACTAGAATTTATCTTTTTTAAAGTAGAAGAATCAATATGGAAACACATGTAATTTATTTTAAAGTAATTCCTAAAGTGTGGGTTGTATAAAAATCATCTCAAATCTTACTATTGTGACTGACTGAACCCAAGGGCCCTGAATAGAGATTTTTTACTGAGATGACTGAACAAAATGAATTTCAATATGAAAAAAATGCAGAGGAGAGTAGAAAAAGGGAGGAAAAGAAAGGGAAACAGAATAAAATGGTTTGAGTAAACTCTAGAGAAAATATCTTCAGACCAGTCACCTGGTTTTAGATATGCTTGAGAAGCACTGCAATGAGGGAATCTCAATAATATCACCTAATAGGTCACTGTATTTCTGGCCAAGTTTCTTCACCAAAAGTTGTAGAAGTTAGACAGTTTAGAGCTAAAGTGAGTCTTTCTGTTAATGGGAAATTCTAACTGGGGAAAAATTATCATTCAACAACACACTCACAAATCAGAAGGGAATCTGATTAGATATGAACTGACAAAATAGCACTCTTGGGTACTATTCTTGTGAATACTGCCATATTTTATATCCAATATATCAAACCGAGGAGTCATATTATGCCATTAGGATTTAATTTTTCTTGTAAGAACCATCTGAATTGTGTTACAATGTGCAAGTGCTTTTGCAGTATACTTTATGGATATATGTCCAAAAAGTAAAAAATATTTCAATGTACACAATTTGTTTCATTTATACCACTAGTCCTCTTAGTTCACTGAAAAGAAAGTTTTGTGCAATTATCTATTTGTTTCTTTTTGGTAAGTCTTTTTGTCTATGACTAACATTTTGGCCATTCTTTTAAGATGATGGTACACAGTATATTAACTACTGCTATTAACTTATATTAACTGCTATTTGTTATGAAGTTTTGCTTTATTTTTTCATAAAAGAATTCTAAAAATATTTTCATTAATATCTACTTATATTACATTAAAATATCATTAAGTACAAATAAAATTTGCTTTTTGAAAATAAAAGTAATCTGCTCTTATTAAGATACACATAAAACCAATGTCTTCTACTAAGTCTCTGAACTTAGTAGATACTTAGGGGAAATTTCCAAGAAATGTAGAAAAAAAGGTTCCAGGAAAATGTAGGGTAGCTAGAAGAAAATAATGTTGACCTTTGCATAAAATAGTAAGATATAATTAAGCCTGGGAAGAAAAACATTTAAAATACGTTGGAACTCAAAGAAATCTTCTTGCTAACTCAGAATTAAATACTATTTTAATATCATTAATGAACCATTCCAACAGAGATGTTCCAGTGACACCCACAGAAGACTGAACCCCATCAGAAACATAAACAGAAAGAGAAGACAGACACTTCGCATTTTGTCTAATATAAGGATTTTTGCCTCCTTTCCTAAACGAATAGATTCATTTTGGTACACACTGGAACACAGAAACTGAGAATGGGGTTCCACTGTATACCTCAAGGGAGGTCACCAGGGAGAGCTGAATAGCAAAGTCTAAGAGTGAGGCTGACAAAGAGAGAGGGGAGTTGTTTCAAATACAACACAGTTTTCATTTTGTCAAAAATTTATCATATGTACAAAGAAAACTTGCTAGATTAATTCTTCTGCTTCTAAAAATATATATTGACTCACTGCCAGTATGAAGAAATCAAGTACTGGGCTCTAAGTGAAATCAATGGACCCAGTTTCTTTGAACCATTCTTCAGATATCTCAAGAGTGCATTTTCATTAACACAAAACTATTCAATTCTGACTGTTTTAGTTAAGGATTCATCAATGCCAAAGAACGTGAGTCTCAGTATTCATTCACTTGATTACGTGGTTAAAAAATAAGTCAAAGTTTTAAGCTGATTCTCAACTTTAAAAATGTGCATACATTCTCAAAATTTACTTGAAAAGCGGGGGGGGGGGAAAGAAAGAGAAGAGAAAGCCAAAGATCTTTGGTTTTTAGAGGTTCAATTCTGATTGCCCAGCTCAAGAAAGGTGGGCACAGCAGTGGGAATGGGGCTGGAGATGGGTACAGAACTCTGCCTGTGCCCTCCAGGGAGGGGGAAGCATGTTTGAGTCCCTGTTAGTGTGTCTCAAATACAGGTATGGGTAATGGTTCTCGAATGGTATCAAGGAAAGTAACTGTCAGTTCAGCTGAGTGAAGAGGACAACAGCAGTTAAATGTGCTGGCTGACATTTCTTTACCCAAGATTCTTCATCTTTAGAGGATGGTGGTGCACAACTATAATCCAGCAGTTTGGGAGGCGGAGGCAGGAGGATTACAAGTTCAGGGCCAAGCTAGACAACTGAGTGCGACCCCCATCTCAAAATAAAAAGTAAAAAAAGGGCCAGAGATGCAGCTCAGTGCAAAGGGCCTGGGTTCAATCTCCAGTACTGACAAAAAAAAGAAAATGAAAAGAAAAAAAGGGTCTCCATCTCTTCACTATAGACTTTCATTTCTTCTTTCCTTTTCATATGAAAGCTCCTAATGTCCCAATACCTAATGCCTTAGAGAAGCCACAGCAGCCTGGGAGAGTTTTTTGAAGAAATCTCACTTCTGTTATTGCGAGAGATCCATTCCAGAACCTCTCTTTGGAACTCTAAAAATACACATCACCACAGAAATAGTTTGTTATACATCATAGCTCTCATTTTCAACAGACCTCTAGAAAATTTATAAATTGGGTACTGATTTTAATCGCACTAATCTCTTTCAAGCAGAAAATCCTCTAATAAACTGTGCCATGTAGCTTTTTATCATATGGTCTGGTATATCAAAATGACAGTGCAGCATCCACATTATGTGATATTCTTAATTTTTATGGGGTGGTTAAAGTATTAGTTAAAATGAAATTATAGCTCTTGAAAAGCTTATTTGCAAAACAAAACAGGCAAAAATTAAAAGATACTATAATACACTATTTGGCTAAATCTAACAATTAGTGATGACATTAAGGTGGGTTCTAAGCTTAGTTTAGAAGAGGTGAAAAACCATTTTATAATTTCTGAAAAAGCACCCATTTACAGCCACAAAATTTTAATTCAGACCTATGTTAGCTGTCAGAACTTTTTGTTTTATATTGTATTACAGGAATATTCCTTGACTGATATTATGTTTCTTAATGAGACCTCTTTAGAATCATTATCCAAGGTATTCAGTGAGGAGCAAGTACACTTTGGCTAACGCTACTATTATTTCTAAATGCTAAGTGGTACACAGAAAAGAAATGTATCACCATAGATACTTAAAGCAAGTACTACAACTGTATTTAGATTATTGATGTATTGTGTATCAAATTAATAAAAAACAGCTTAGTTATAAGGATTTCCTTTCTGAAACTTTTAATAAAGCACATACCTCTTGTAGGGTATTAATATCTACTCCATCCCCTTGAATAACTCTAAGATAAGGTGGCAGCAACTTGTAGCCTTTTGAGTTCTCAGTAACAGGAAATTTCTTACCTAAAATATCTAAAACCTGTATGAAAAAAACACACAAGCAACACAAATAACTGAAACTGAAAAAAAAGTAAAAGCTTTTCAAAAATTAAAAAAAGTTTTGCTCTGTTAGAAGACAATCATGTAAATATAAAAATTAATTTAACTGTTCAATTACTTAAAAATTACATATTATGTATAAAGCTATGCAAAAGTTAGTCTTAATTCCTTTTAATCACATTAGAGACAGACATGCTATTTATACTAAGTCAATTTATAACATAAAATGACTTAAAACAAGTTTTTTCTTTGCATATCTGAAATTACATAAATTGAAAAAATCCCTAATGTTAGATTAGAATATTTTAAAGAAGTATGTAAAGTATGATTTAAAGTCATGATTATACTTTTACTTAGATTTATTCTGCTTATGCCCAACTCAAAAATACAAACTCAAATATAAATCCACTTAAATCAAAAACTTCAGGGAATCTGACAAAGCTAGAAACAAAATTATATTTTATATATATATATATATATATGTATCTCACATAGTTGCTCAAATTCTCTTTTCCTCTGTTAAAGTCAAAATGTATAATATGCAAACCAGTCTGCTCATTCATTTACTAAATAAAAATTTTGTAGCAACTGAAATACTTAAACACAAATTTAAAATTTTATGGAAAATAGTCAGATACAAAAGGCCTATAAAAACATGTCCCTTCCCCAAGAACCATTTCTTTTTCCTAAACTGATTAAAAGGTCCCAACAATGAGAAAATTCCCTAAGTGATTTAGTCTGTTCTTATAACTAGTCGCACACATTTTTGTGGATAATAAAAATGTCAAACTTGTTTAGTTTGTTAAAACCAAATATTTCAGGGTATGACAAGACCTTCAAATAAATGAGCCTACTGTCTGATATCAGAAAGGCTTTGTAGCTCTGTCCCTCCCCTTCTTGAAGGGTAATTTTAGCTGAGAAACAGTGGTAAAGTACGATGGCTGCAGTCAAAAGACCTACACTGGATACTTGGGCCCTTTATTTCACTTGTGTGAACTTGAGCAAGTCACTTTAATCTCTCCGAGCCTCTGTTTCCTTTTTTTTTTTT